TTGTTGATAAATTTCCACTACTTTTTGCTGCCATGCTTGTAACCCATTCTATTTGCCATATTGACCAGTGATACAAATACAGATATGCATTTTAGTTTTTAAATGTTTTGATATAATAATAGTGTTGCATGTTTATGTTTTGGGAAAAACAGGCAATCAAACTACTTAGCTTTTTTCCATTTTATAAAAAAACATTTAGCCAAAAAGAGCGTTGGTACTTAACCTGATACGATTGTTCTCTGTGAGTTGTGACGAGCATCCAGCAGTGGGAAGTGCTTAGACTTAGATTGGATAGGCTAGGCTTGATTGATAGGACGCTCCTCCTCCTCCATGTACTCCTCTTTAGCATCCCCAGTTTTTGCAAAGATGAAGAGAGAGAAACCTCGTCCTCTTTTTTTTTTTTTGTAGTCATTGGCTGGACCAGGAACCCACCAGACAGAAATTGGGTGGGTCTGGATGCTCGTCGCAGCTCACAGAGAATGGGCATTATCAGGTAAGTTCCAACACCCTTTCTCCAATAAACTGCTCCAAGCATCTAGAAGTCTGACATACCAAAGCTTGGCTTGCCTTACGGTTGGGTCTCCGTCTGTCTTGGAGTCCCCTCATGGTCCCTATGGACCCTTTGTAAGACTCTCCTACCGAAGGAAGCCTCAGCAGAGGGAAATACAATTTTGTAGTGTTTAATGAAGGGCGATGGTGAAGCCCATGTTGCCGTACGACATATTTCTGTTATTGGCGCTTGTGTGGCCCAGGCTGCTGAAGTTGCGGTGCTCCTAGTGGAATGTGCTGTTATACTGGGCACTGGTAATAAATGAGTCTTGTATGCCTTAGCTATTGTGGCTTTCCACCACCTGCCTATATTTGAAGATGATACCTTCTGACCCTGAGTGGTTGACTGAAACGAAACAAAGAGTACCTCAGTCTTTCTAAAGGGAGCCGTGCGGTGTATCTACATACGGAGAGCTCTCTTGACATCTAGTCGATGCCATTGAAGTTTTAACCCCTGAGACGGTCTCGGATAAAAGTTTGGAAGGACCAGTTCTTGTGCCCTGTGAAAAGCTGAATTAAATTGGAATGAACGCCAGGTCTGGGCGAAGAACCACTCTGTCAGAATGAAAAATGCAGAGGTCTTGTCGGACTGATAAGGCTGCTATCTCAGATATACAACGTCCTGATGTTATTGCTACCAAGAAAACTACCTTGTAGGTGAGAAAGTGGAGATTCGTAGTTTTCAGTGGTTTGAAAGGAGCCTTTGTAAGGGCCATGAGTACCTTGTCAAGGTCCCAGGTCGGATAGCAGTGCACCACAGGAGGATATAAATTTGTTGCGCCATGAAGAAAATTTCGTATGTGTGGGTGATGTGATATAGATCCTAGACCCTTCCAGGTGACTACTGAAGCCAGGGCTGCTACCTGTCATCTCAAGGTGTTTGGTGAGAGGCCCTTGTCAAGGCCCTCTTGAAGGAAGTCCAATAGCTGTGCCACTGACAAAGAGAAGGGATCAATGTTGGATTTTATGCACCATTTATAAAAAATGTGCCATGTATATGGAATTTGTTGAGGGGCATCAGGCCACTTAAATCGTATCGATCACTCTGTGTGAGAGATGTTCGTTCTTCAGATGTCTTCGCTCAACCTCCATATAGTAGGTGGAGCCACTGAGGGTCCTGGTGCACAACTGGACCCTGGCTGAGTGAGACCCTTTGAGGGGGAATCCTCCAAGGATCTTGTGTTGACAGATCCCTGAGGTCCGCGAATCACTGCCTCCTGGACCAGTATGGTACAACCAAAAGCATTTCTGCTTTTGCGTTCAACCGTTTTTGGATCATCCTGGGAATTACTGGGAGAGGAGGAAAGGCATACAGAAGTCCTGGGGGCCACCGACAATGAAAAGTGTTGATGTTCTCCGCTCCTTCGGCTGGGTACCTCGAGATGAACCTTGGAAGCTGTGAGTTCAGAGGAGAAGCAAACAGACGTATGACTGGTTGCCTGAATTTCTGTACCGCTTCCTGAAACAAATCCAAGTGCAGGCGCCACTCTGATTGATCAACTGTGGCCCTGCTCAACAAGTCCACTTGGGTTTTTGCCAAGCCAGAGATGTGTTCTGCTCTTATGGAGACCAAGTTCTTTTCCATCCAAAGGCACAGTCTCTCTGCTTCTCTCATTATTTGTCTCGAATGAGTGGAGTCACTAGTCGAACACATGAAAGCCATAGCTCATAGCATTGACTTCAATGGCACCAAAACCCTAGCCACCATAGAAAATCCCAGCTACAGAATTATCAGAGAAGCCATAGAGATTGAAAAAAGACCTGAAATAATGAATAGAAGAGATGATTCCACCAGACTGTCAATCATTTGGAAGCCTGCACTCACAAACAAAAAAATCTCCACACCACTAGCCAGACAAGCACCTGGGCACAAACAGATCTCCCCTGATACCTCCAACTCAAACACACCCCAACCAGGCACCCAGATGAAACCTAGCTTCCTAACTAACAATAGTCGTCCATTTACCCGGAGCCAAGCTGCACTAAAGGCCTCCAATAAAGGAACACAATGTTGCCAGCCAATCAAGATACAAAAAGAGCCACAAAACAGACAGAAGATATTAGAAACACCAATCAAGCAGAACACAGCAAACTCCAAGACCAATAAACACAGACCAAGACTCCCAACCAATCAGGATGAAGAAAAAACCATTCTGGCACAGCAATAGGCCACCCCAAATTTAAATCTGAAACCACTGTAAAAGTCTGACTCACAGATGAATACTGTACAGAAGCCTGATGATGGCAGATGAGATTCTGCCAAAACGTTGCTACAATTTTAAAAGCACAACTACAATGACGTGGAAAATACCCGAACAAAGCTGAATGCCATACATGTAAGCACCCGCAAAAACTTGAGAAATATATATTCCAACGTAAAGTTGGAAGTATCTTGGCAACATTTCGACGAAATCTCAATGAGACACTTCCAATTTTACATGGGAGAAAACCCGAATAACCAAAGATCCACATATAAATACCCGCAAAAACCTCAGAAAACAAATATGTGTGTGTGTGTGTGTGTGTATAAACAAATATAGTTATTATAAATAATATTTTAATTATATCTTTGCACAGCAACTAAATATAAAATTATTGTGCTGTTAGCAGACTTATAATTAGATGACTGAATATTGGAATCAAATTTTGAAGCCAAATTGAGAACACCTTTCAGGACCTGTATTACAACTGAGTGATCCTGCAGTCACTGGCCCTCAGCAGCTTCCTGCACAGGTGGACACAGGCCTTGGTGCTCGCTGTTACTGTACTGCTATTTTCTGTGAGGGCTGCCAACTTAAAAAGAAACCCAATATTCAACCTCAGAAAGAAGTCAGCAATAGGCGTAAATGTCCACTGGATCCTCATGGAGAGAGCTTTGTGAAGGGAAGTGGCCTCTCAAGAGATAATGCAATGGAATTCTTATAAACAAAATGGCGTCGGCAGTTATTTTAGGTGCCAAAATGTAGCAGCAACTGTCACCTCTTATTGTAAGCCGATACGAAGCTAACTAGAAAAAAGCGAGGTGATCTAAGGAGAATTTGAGCTCTAAAGCCCTCTCCTTTAGGTGTTCTGATCGGGGAAGCAGGAAAAAATCCTAATCGTTTAAACTGGCTGCTCATCTCTCCAAGTGGAACAGCAGGGCTTCGTGATGACAAGCGATTTACGATGTCAAGATGATGTGGTTTCTAATCACTGCAAAAGCAGCTGAGGGCTCCCTGGGGAGCCAATGTGTATTCCAATGGCAGTCTTGCCAATTAGCCGTTGGAATAATGTTATTAGAAAGACACTTTTGAATTCTATTAGACTTATAATTTAGAAAAGCCGAACAATTTTGAATTGTAATTGACTAATAATTTAGAATTATCAATTAGAGTAATTCAAACCTGTTTAATTTGTCCTAGTCCAGCCAAGGAAGCAACCAAGCTGCCTACCTCACGAAGGCTGAGCTAAAACTGGGGACGCTAAGGAGGAGTATGTGGAGGAGGAGGAGGAGGAGCGTCCTATCAATCAAGCTCAGCCTATCCAATCTAAATCTAAGCACCTCCCACTTCTGGATGCTACTGACATTCTATTTAAATAGTCCAAGAACCATTTAATGCAATAATTATTCAGTCTCAAAACTCTGTGACGGAAGATTAACAAAGTTTCAAGTTTTACAACAGAAGAGAATATATCTCCTCAGAATTACAGACTCACTCAATTTTGCTCACCACCTACTTTCAGACCGATGGACAAATATGCCAACAAATCTAGCTTAAAATTGAGGTTGGTCAATTTAAAACTCTTGGATTATTTGTTTAAAACAAATTATAACACACATCTTGGAAATAATCAATTTAGCAATGTGTTTGTGTGTATGTATGTTTTTGGTACAATATTTGAGCGATAAAAATTAGATGTAAAGAAATATATATCAAATTGTATACACAACATCCAAGAACTTAATACTATCTTGAACCACATCAACCACATCAACCTTCATCTCATAAACTATGAGATTGATTATTCTGCACAATATTCTGCACATAGATTATTCTAAAATCTTCACTTTTGATTCTTCAATTCATTGTAAGAATAGCCAAGACATAAATATCAAAGTGGAAGAAATGACTGCCTTCAAATTCTTTAATGCTATTAATGAGCTAGACAAGCCACTGGCTTAACTTCAAAGCATTAAATAATGTATGTTCTAATCATTTCTTAGTTACCTTTGTAAGTAATTTTCAAAGACTAATCATGATTCTTGAAACAAAACAATCTGGAAACATTGAAGAAAAAAATTAGTTGAAATAAAGTAAGTATCAGATAATTCAACATAAAGCTTAGATATTTTCTGTATTTTGGAAGCAGTTCATTATCTAATCTAATCACAATCTAATCTGAAGAAATACATTAAAATTGCAAAGTTTATATTAATTTATTTGATTTAATTATGAACTTTTATCTTTTACCATTATAGGTTATCCTTGGTTTTGTCAAACACATCACAAGATGTAAATCCATTTCTTCTGAAGATACAGACTTGGAACAAACTGGGCATTTAAATCCTGAAAAGAAAGAAAATACATAAATAATCCCATTTTGCTTTGTTAACTGTATCTCTAATTTCTTTGTATTTTTATGCATAGGAGCTCACAATGATTTGAGTAGAAGCCTATTCACAGTATAATAGGCCATGTATCTAAGATAGGTTATACTATTTATATGTGGAATTGAGTGCTTATACTACTGGCAAGTTTAAATTTCAATCACAAAAACAAAAAACATCCATAGGACTTCAATTCTAATTATCTTAATTATTATTGGAAAAAAAGTATTATGCTTATATCAACATATTGGCTCCTTTTTTGTCAAAAAGTTTTTGCTTGCAAGTAAATTTCATTCATCAATTTTATCTGCTTATTTTGATTGTCTGACACTTTTTCCTGCCAAATATTGATTACTGCTTGAAAGTTATTTCTGAGAATGTTATGTACCTATGTCATAATCCAGTCAACAGAGAAAAGTTGCATTACTGAAATAAATGAACTTCTGCATGATATTCTAATTTTTCGAGTTTCACCTGTATATCTGAAAGAAGGATCCAAATGATCAGATTATCTAGTTCATTATGATTGCCTTGAAATAACTTTATTGCTTTCTATTAAATAGAACTCTAGGTATTTCCCTGAGTGTATAACGGTCTGCCTTTTCAGAAAATTTTCTTCTTAAAAGCTTAAGTCTTTTGCTATTATCTAAGTTTTTATTTATTTTGTTTTCAAAAAAGCAGCCAAAGTCTTTAATTCCTTTCAACAGTTCCAAGAAGGCTCCACACCAATTTGTACCACCCAGGTGACCCTAACACAGATAAAATTCCAGGTGACCTTAACGACTCACTAAAAGAGTGTAAATGACTAGCTGTCTGCAAGGAGAATAAATCCTTCCATTTCCTACCATCTAGTCTGAGCTGAAGAAGTGTCTTGTGAAATGTCTTCAAAGAAAAAACAGAACGCCTCTTGATAAAGCACCTTTGAGACAACCATGACCTGGATGACTGAGAATCTTCATAGATAAAATCTTTAATTGTTTGCATCAGCTGCCATATAGAATTTTATGGTTGCCTAATTGTTATCATTTAGATAATACATCTTATATTGTCTTTGAATTTTGATCTATTTGTCTTCTCACATCTTGTTTGCTACAGCTTTCAAAGAGATTACAAATAGTAAGGGAGAGAGCAGATATGTATGCCTTATACTTTTTGTTTTTTTATTGTTTTCTCAATCAATAATAAACAGTACTGTGGCACATTTTTAAACTACATTACATATCAATATTATCTATAGATTCTATTTCTATACTTTTTACAACTATAATACATTTCCTTTTCTTATTTCTTTCCTTAATCCAGTCATACCATTTTTCCCATATTGCATAGAATTCAGAAACTTCTTTTCCTTTTAATTCTATAGTCATCCTATCCATTCCTGCACATTCACATTTTTTTTTTGATTACTAGGCCTTCGGATGGTATGTGTTCTTTCTTCCAACATTGCACAAAAGCTATTCTGACTGCTGTTGTTATATGTAGCATCACATATTTTATCTTTTTATTGTATTTACCTTTAATTACTCCTAGGAGGAATAATTCCGGGGTAAATTCTATCTGATTTCCAATTACAACCTGCATCCATTTTTGTATTTTTTCCAGAATTTTTTCACTTAGGGGCATAACTACCATGCATGTCGTACCCTTGGTAGAGTTGGACTCCGAGGGAGAGGCGGAACAACCGACAGGGAGTGAAGGTGTGGCTCCGGAGGTTGTGGAGGAGGCTGGGGAAGGGCTGAGGCCGACTGGGCAGTCAGAGGAAGAACCAGGCCCATCCCCTCTGTATCCTAGGACATGCAGGGAGGAAAGGAGAAGGCAACAACTTGGCTTGTGAGAGAGGAAGCAGCAATGATCCTCCTCATTGGTTGCAGCTGGGGAGATGATTATATAAGAGAGATGGTTAAAACACAGGTTGCCAGAAGCAAAGCGTGTTTTATTTTGGTCTAAAGTTATCTTGGTTGGCATCCTTCCAACAGACTGTGCCTTGTTATCTCCTTGAATTTGGTAAATACTTCTCCTGTTCCGTTGTGGAAATTTCATCATTGTAGTTTGTTTGGTTTTTTTATTTCACCATCTGCTCATTAAATTTGCACTGTATTGCGTTCTTTTGAAGATTTTTGAAGACTATTTTTTAGTACATTTTATCTCCAATTGAGTATTGTTGAACAGTGGGGCCAAGTTGGAGGCATTAGAGGACATTTATTTATGTTTTGGATTTTGTTACATTTGTGTTACACTATGGATCATCAAAATGTGTGGTAGAAGGTACCTTGTTTTTGTCTGCATTTCCAACATTTTGAATCTAAAGTAGGGTAGATCTTAACTAATCTTCTGGGCGCCAAGTGCCAGCAGTAAAACATTTTATATTTATTTTCTTTATAGGCTGCCAATTTTGTTATCTTATAATTTGCGTTCCATATTTTTCCCACTCCTCTAACGCGATGTTATGCCCAAAATTTTTGGCCCATGCTATCATCAATCCCTTGACTATCTCCTCTGCCCTATCCAATTCTAGTAAGTGATTATATATTTTGGATAATAATTTCTCATCTGGGCCTGTTAACAGTTTGTCTAATTTTTGTGGCTCAATGTCAATTCCAAATTCCTCACTATCTTTTTTATATCTTGATTGTAATTGCAAGTAGGGCCACCAATCAATAGTTATTCCCTGGTTTTGCAATTCCTGTCTATTTATCTTGATTGTCTAAAATCTCCTTATATCTGGCCAACTTGTCTATGTCCATAGTGTTAGGATAAATCATAGCTTCCATAGTGGAAAGCCAATTTGGGATTTTCAGATATTTGTTTTATTTCTCTCCATTTCTGTATCAAAACGTATCTTATTTTGTGTCCATAAAAATATAAATGAGACTGTTTACTTTTGTCCCACAAGAAGGCATGCCATCCTTTTGTAAATCATGCCCTTCAAGCATTAATATTCTCTTCTTTCTTAAATTAATCCAATCTCTCACTCATACCAATATTGCTGCCTTATAATAGAATTCCCAACTGGGGAGTCTAAAGCCACCTCTGCTTCTATTATCCTGCAGGTCTCTTAATTTTATTTGTGCCTTCCTACCTGACCAAATAAATTTTATGGTAGCTCTATTTAATTCTATTAAAAAGTATCTAATTTTATTGGAATTGTTCAGAATAGATAAAGTACTTTTGGTAAAATATTCATTTTAATAGTTGATATACGTCTGAATAAAGATAATTGTAGAGTCCTCCATCTTTCCAGATTTGTTCTAATTTTAATTAGTAATATTTCTAATGTTAGGATAAAGAGCAGAGGTGACAATGGACGACCCTGACTAACTCCTTTCATTATTTTAAATGTTTTAGTAGAATCTCCATTTATTATTACACTGGCCTTTTGAGACGTATATACTGTTTTTTATCATTTTTTCACATTTGTCTCCGAATTTCATCTCTTTGTTTGCCAAATCATAAATTGCCAGTTTAAATTATCAAATGCTTTTTGAGCATCCAGAAAAACAAGGGCCACTTGTTTCTCTGGATGCTCTTCATAATATTCTAATATATTAACGACATTTCTAATATTGTCTCTTATTTGTCTAGATGGTAAAAATCTATTCTGGTCAGAGTGTATAATCTCGTTCAGTATTTTCCTCATCCTCCCTGCTATAATAATCATAAAGATTTTGTAATCTGCATTCAGAAGTGAAATTGGCCTATAATTTTGGAGTTGATTGCCATCGGTACCTTCTTTCAGGATCACAGTGATATATGCTTCCCTTCACATATCGGATATTTTAGCTTCCAGTAAAGCCTCATTGCATAATTCCAATAGTACAGGTTCTATTAACTCTCCCATATTTTTGTATATTTCCCCTGGTAAACCATCTGGCCCCAGGGATTTATTGGCCTTTTGTTTATGTATTGCTTCTTTTAATTCTGTAATTGTTGTTTCTCTGTTTAACATTATTCTTTTTTCTTCATCTATTGGTGACAGAATTTCTATTTTCAAATACTGAGTTATTTAATCTATCAGTATTTTTTCTTGACTATATAGGTTTTCAAAATATTTTTGGGTGATCATCTTTTTGCCTTCTTCATTATTCTGCAAATTGCCTGCCTCATCCTGAAGATGGTGTATTATTCTTTTCTCCTTTTCTTTTTTTAATTTGTAAGCCGGCTATCTTCCTAATTTATTTGCATGTTCAAAAAAAATTGCTTCATGAATTTGAGATCCCTAACATCCTCTTGTTTTAATAGACTTAATTTGTGTTTGGCCAAATTCAAAGTTTCACTAATCTGTTCACTAATTGAACAGATTTATTTGAAATTTATTTTCTAGTTGTCCAATTTCTGTCTGTAATGAATTGTACTGTCTCTTTTTCTTCTTATTCCTCCTTGCTGTATAGGCCCTAGCCTAGTGTATGCTTTCATTGTGTCCCATAGGATTTGGAGTGAGGTGTCCTGTTTCTTGTTTTCATCAAAAAAAATGTCAGCTCACTTTCAATCCTCTGAGTATACTCATTTTCTAGTAAGATCTGTGGGTTCAATGTCCATCTCCCTTTCCTTTTCTGACCTCTCCATATTATTAACAAAGGATTATGATCTGCCCAGGGGCTGGGAGAATTTCAATCCTTTCTACCTCCTTACCTCTCTATTTGCCCCATACCATATCAATCCTTGAGTAAGATTTGTGGGAGTTCGAATAAAAAGTAAATTTCTTTTTATTTGGGTTTAATATTCTCCACATATCAGTCAAGTTCAATTCATCTGCCATCTCAAAGGAAGTTTTTGGTAATATATTCCTGTTTTTTTTTTTGTCACTAATATAATCTTTTTTTAATATCAATTATTCCATTATAGTCACCCATTATACTCACATTCCTCTGGCCTATCTCTATGATCTTATCATGGATTTTTTTTATAGAATTCCTTCTGACTCTTATTGGGAGCATACAAATTTACTAACAACATATTTTG